GGCTTCGAACACAGGTGTGGATGGTATAGGCAGTTAGAATACGCCTTCGGGATATTTTTTGTCAGCTCGGTTTTGAATGGACGGAATGCAAGTTTCGGACGATACGGTAGTCAAAAGTAATTGAATAGGCTTTGTTTCTGAAGGCGTGCAAGGAAAATTTGTTTTTAAAAACATATCCAAGATTATCTTAATCTCTGGTTTTACAGAATGGTATGCTTGTCACTCCACATGTCCTTATAAAACATACATGAGTTCGGTTTAAGTCACCACAAATCAAGGAAATCCACGGAGTGTTTGAAAGACGCGTTGGCCAACCTTAAACCTCCTTTGAACACTTAGCCGTAATGTAAGTACTTACACTTATCACGACTCTTATGCGGCTGTCACTACAAATAATACCTTGACAGTTTATGCTCGATGGACCGGAAATAAGACGTCACAGTGAATTATTGAACTAATACACGGGAGGCATTTCCGACCAATGTTTACGTGAGTGTATTGTGAAGATCATCAGTTTCTCCTAGGATAAATTGAGCGTTCAAATGTGCGATAAGTAAAAGACAGTGAACCCAACCCAACTAAGCGATTGCCATTAGCCCAATACGTCCGTCAAACCAAGCAAAAGGTCACAAGGCTGGTCGAGGGACAGAACTCTCGAGTTGACAAATGTGTTCGTCAGGCAAGAGGAAGCAGTGACAGGAACTACTGTGGTTTAAACTAAAAGGTGCAACCTAACCGGGACCCACAAAGCCGCCCATAGCCCAAATATCGTGGTATTTGCTAGACGACAAGGACTAACAGAAATCGTTAGAGACAGTCTAAAGTACCCTCCTTAAAAGTGATCTCAAAAGTAATCTGTTATGAACCAGCAAATCTTTAATCCAACCCATCAGTCTCAATGATTTCTCACCCATACCAATAAGTCTCAGCTGACATCTAGCACTCTCTAACTTTCTACTATTTAGAGATTCCGCGGACTAGTTTCGCTTACGTCCTAAACCAAACCAAATCTCCGCATGTGGTTTTGCGAGAGACTCATCTGGAACAGCTGAATCTCTTGTTTGTGATGGTTCTAGGCAAACCAATAGGCTGCTGGAAATATCACAAACGTGAGCCTTTCTCAAAAAACCAAATTTGCTTTCAAGTAGAACATAAGGTTGACGGAAACTCGGGGACTGAGCCTCCCTGATGAGCCCCAAGAAGGGCAAAACCGGTGGTGACCTGTCGAAGAATTTTCAGCAACATCATGGGTAATGCATTACGTACAAAACCTCTAAACTTTTGACCCGACACGAGAAAAACTGTGCCCCGAGCAAAACCAACTCTATGGATAAGCATGCTCATCCGGATTACAGTAGAATTATTAGGTTTCTGACGCTCACGTAGACAGTGGCACCACTGTTACCCGACTAAAACAGACTGATTCAACTAATTCAGCTGCTTCCGATGTTAATCCAGAAGTCAAGAAGATCATTAGACTTTAGTCTGTTCCCCAAAGTGTGACCAGACAAGAGTAATTTCGAAGATCTTTTGCAGTTGACCATTGCCTACGACTATAAATGAAAATAATAAATAACTTGAAGTCTCGCCACAAGGACATATCACTGTCTGCAACATAATCGACATCTTGGCCATGTACCATCATTGTCTTTATGATCGATATCAGTCCGGTCGTCATGATTGTTTACACCACCGTTACCACTGTTCACGTCATCAACAGCTACAAAGTATCTGCTGTAGTGCCTACTTCTTTCCTCCAGAAAATAATTTTTGTTGGAAAGTAGTATCACGTATAATATCGAAGGAGACCAACAAGCTATGTGCGAAAACAACCTGGTCAACACCTTAATTTGAACGGGCTGGTTTGCTAGACCGACACATCCATATTGGTTTTTGACCTAAAACGGGAACGACATGATGTATCTTAGCGGACCAAAGAACATTCCACTCCTCACCTTCATTTGATTCTTACGACAAAACTAAAGTCCTTTTTTTAAATCAACCCAACTTGGTCTTAATCTGTTTACCGAACTTTGATTCTCGTATCAATTTGTTGACAACTTTATCCAGGCATCCGAGGCTGTCGAAATATACTACCTAAACGACTTTATTAGGACAGTTGCTAGCAGCTGTTTCTGATCACATGGCTTTCTACGTATTGAAATAATAACAATAATATGCTTAGGATTGTACAGCCTACCATGGCCTGCGCTAAATCCCCGGTATAGGCAATTTTTGCTGACATTTTTTTGGAATTTCAACAACGCAATTGTTTCGATTAAAATAGTTCCATTCATCAACTCACACTGGCGAACATTTATAGGTATGGTGTATAGTACGTTGACACGCGTTTTTTATTTGTTTTTGTGCGGCGGCCATAGTCATTTTTTAGACTTCCACTTGGGAGGGCTGATGGATGTTTTCGAGCGTAAATGTTTGCTCGAATGAGGCTTGTTGGAAACTAATTGTGTATAACGTGTAGCATTCATCCCTTGGCACTACGAGGGCTAACTTGTCTGCATTTACTCACCTGCCAACCAGTTTTGATACAGATTGTGTTTGTGCATGACATCTGTTTTTTCCTAAATGTAAGACAGTTTCGTTTACGAATGCAGTCATATTTTATTTGGAATTAAACATTTTGTGTCCTAGGCTTCATTTTTAGGCGGCCGTTCCATTTCAATTTATTCGTACTGATGATTTTTTTGAAAACTCGCTACAATAGAAACTACTGTACTAAGTGGCACTATTATCATTATGTTTAACAATTTACTTAATCGGTCAGTTACTTCTCATCTTCAAACAAGCCCCTCCTAAGGGACTCATATAAACAGAATAAAGACGACTGTTGAAGGACAGTTTTGATTAGAACAAAACAGTACAACGTGAATTTGTTCCTTTCCAGGATTGCTCTACCGTCGGAAAGCATAGATCTAAAACACTGGATCCCTTAGTGAATCCCTTTTAAGGGGTATCTATGTAGGCGGGAATCTTTAAATGACCATTAAGGGTGACAGTCCGCACGACAAAAAGCCCATGTTGAACCACGTGTAGACTTGACGATCCTGAATAGTATAAAGAAGAACTCAGTTCGAAAATCTACGCTATTGTATACACAGAAGTAAGTAAAATTTTATAACAAACCTCAGGTCACCGGGTAATCACTCCCATTCATATATGAACTTGGCGTTGATGGGACACCCATCTAAACACAGCCAAATCTCTTTCATTCTATTCTTCAACTGGATGTGCCGCACCAGACCGCCTCATAGTTCATTTAGTAGAATATTTACTGATTCCTGATGTTGCTCATAAGGTTGCTGAAAACTCTTCGACAACCATTTAGTCGATGACCCCTGAAAACGAGAGTCGGTTGGATTCACTTGATTCTGCCGTCAAAACTAAGTTCATACGCAAGCTACAGTGTTCGGCGACTTCCGTCCAATTTGGGTTTAGGTGGAACATATGGTCGATGGAAACTAGGTGAGCGCAAGGAAGGGCGAATTTGGACGTGAGCAGCATCAGCTTTATACCTACTGTATTGCACCTACTCAGCTATCTAAGACGAGTGTGCGCATCTGTCACCCACCGTCACCGCGCTGTCAGATTCCGCGCACCAGATAACGGAGAACGAAAAGTTGGCCCAATGGTGTGGGTTGCATGTTCACTTCCGAGACCAGTTCCGTTATTTCGTTTGGCGGTGCGGTCACACGGGCATCCCGACCGGATCAATTAGAGCAGCCCCGGAAGACGAATAATACAACCTGCGACAAACTGAGCGGTAGATCCTCATACCGCGGTGGAGAAAAACCAAGTAAAGAGCAGTAAACTTCGGAGTGCAGTAACTAAACAAATAAGGGTTAGATCTTTCGGTCAAGTTAAATTCAATGACTGCACTGTGAATCAGCTCACTCAGTGGGGATTTTCTGGATTGCTTTGATCAGTTTAACTATCCAAACGTTCCAACATAATTGAAGGTGACGTCGCTGCTTTTCAAATAGTACCCGATATAACAACGACTTCGTCGCTCACAGTTCATAGCAGCACTCAGTGCTGAAGGACTGGTGTTGGGACTTTGTATGTGAGCTCGTTTTCATGGGTCGCACCAACGCGTCATCCATGAACAGTGGCTTCCAGTGAACATCAGTTTGTGCTGGTGACAGATATTCTTGTTGCTGGAAACAAAAATGTCACGATAGGCTTTGACTTGACGTCATACACATCCGGGAAGCAAGTGAAGAGCATCAAACCCAAACACGATTTGGTGGTTTAGGTTAACTCGCACGCGTTACACTAGGCGGACAACTGATAGTCAGCGTTAGAGACGTATGACATAGAGGCGGACAGGACTGTTAACGCGGAACGACAAACTGATCTCGATATGGATGTGAAAACCCGCCGTTTTAGCTTGTAGATACCAGTGGCGTTTCTATAGCATCAACAATACGCATGGGGTAAACCTAACTAAGCTCAAATTTTAGGTTGAAGTGCATTAATTTTGTTTTCTCCTCAGTCTCAGCTAACGAACTGAATCTCCCTGAAACTCCCGCAGAACGATTAGTGAACATGAAATATGAGTAAATAATATGCCAGACAGCTGCGTCCAGGTCAGTGCATCTGGGGATTTTCGTGGAGGACATAATCATGTCGACTTAAAAAGGAAGTTCCCAGAAAGAAAGTCATGGATGTCCTCCTCGAGGGAACTTGCAGGTAGACAAATCTGTTTGATGACAACAGAAATAATAACACTGTTATAAGTGGAATATACAAGAATATTTATGTCCCGACAATATATATTCTGACAGTTAAAAAGAGTTTGAAAATAGTGTGGTCTCTTAAAACTTGTGCTAGCTGATCACTCCCACTCAGCTTGTTTGAGCAATTCTAAGAACTCCGGATCAACGAAAGCTGACCCAAAAACTAGCAGGGTGATTTCATTATTTCTGATCGTTTGTTAGATCCTTATACATTTCTGTTCACATAAACGTCTTTTGTTTTAGAAATGGCGTGACTTGCTTGACCGGGATAATACTGGCGTTGTCACATTGAATGAGTTCTGCCAAACACTTGGACTGAGGCCAGCCTCCATGTGAGTATGGTTATGAATGACTGTCACCGTGTCCATCCTGCTTGTAACTTATCGCTTACCATCTGCGGAAAACATTGTTTTGTGCTAGAAAATTTGCCAAATTCTTCCCCAGGGACCACTCAATATCATCTCCTGCAATCGAACCATGACTTGATGAACAACGAAGTCGTTTACGTATTCCGAATGCATACACGATCAGAAGCTTCATGTAGCGGCTCACAGAATTCGTGACAAAATCTGAAATGTTTGAAATCATGTGCCTTGTAGATTGATGGTGAAGTTGCTAGACAGAATTTGGAAAGAGCTTACTTCAGGACTGAGTTCGCATAGGTGAAAAAAATGAACGGAAATCAGATGTGATTCTGTTGACCAAATAGTCAGGTTCAAGGCAGCATCACACTGAAATATAATTCGTCCGCAGCACAACTGAAGGTGATTTTCTATTATCTTCAGTTTGACGCTTACTGTCTAAAGAGTTAGGTAGCAAAATATTAAGAAGTAAAACGTAATCGCCAACACCTTTCTCCTTTATTTGTAGCCATCCTCAGCGTCAAATGCTGGTCAGACAAGTACCCCTAAACCGTTCCCAAATTCGTGTAGTTATGGCCACTATGTCGAGAGCCATGCAAGAGCAGATTGGTGAAGATGTCTGCTGGATGACAAGGGATTGCAAAACTAGTAATGAACAACTTGCGGATCGAATAAAGAAGCATTTGGACAAGCGATTTGGGCGCACCTGGCAAGTTGTTATCTGTCAAGGTTCAAGCTGGGCCAGTTTTACACACCTTCCTGAGACAGCTTTTTTCTTCCAGTTGGATAAGAATGTCTATCTGATATGGAAGACGCCCGACTAGTGGAGTGGTTTTACACGATTTTACTGCTCTCGGGGTTTGCAAACTTTGGTTTATTCAATATTATCATTTGTCCCAATCCACCTATTTTGGATTGAATAGACAACGTGACACCACTGTCCCGCAAAACAGTGCCCTTATTGTACCGTTTATTAGGATCACGTGTTGCTGATTTTGTGCAAGCTGCAATTGTGTCACTCACCTCTGTAATAGAATTGTTGTTCTACTCAGTGGTACAATGCATTCGATGGTACCAGCTTTCGATAGCTTAGCACCTGAATACGGCTTGTGACTGACAGACAGACAACAGCATCTGTCACTCACACACGAGGTAGCAATGCAGCGATTTGAGTTCGACTAACTTAGAGAACGAACCGAGTGCACTGCTACTGCCACCAATGAAGTTCATGAAGTTCGTAAACCATCAAATTACACGAAATTCTTTATTTCTGTTTCGCCCAAAATATGTCCACGTATTGAAGCAGTAAGGCTGAAAATGCAGAATTCATAAAATTAGTAATGCTCCGAGAAATATCACTCTAGTTAGATTCATTCTCTCATCAAATTTAACTTCGAAAAATCTGTAAAAATTTGGCAGTGCGACTCGCTGTTCAAAACAGTCTAAGCATACCTTATAGCTAAACGCACCTGTTTGCAGCTGAGGAGAAAATGAGTGTCCCAGACAATCAATCAATACTGATTAATTTTTTGATGGATTATCAAAGTTAGTGAACAGCGAGCGAGTTACAAGCAAGTAAGCTGGAAAACCTATTCACTTGTTAACCATCTTTGGGCAGTACCAGATAACGATGATGCACATCCATCCGAACACCTGAACAGCTGCTAGTTGCACAACAGTTTGTGCAGAATCGCTTCAGTTTCACTGGTTCATTCGTCAGGGAGGCCAGTCAGCTTTTTCATTGACCACTGTGTCTACCTTGCCTTAGTATATCGGTGTTTGGCAGTGAACGCTTTCTGGGTGTCAAGAGGGCATTTAGCCTTCAAGGAAGCGCTGAATCACGGTATGAAGTCTCCAAGTACTTTCAACCCACACTCATCTGTGAAACACTGTTCAACGATAAACGTTCGTTTACTTTGACGAATAGTATATTCTAAGAACTGGTCGACTGCTCAGGTTCATTTAGTAATGTCAGTTTAGCTGGTTTCTTGTCTCGTTTGAGGATGTTAATCAGCAAATCGCAGACCTATTTTTCGAATGCATGACAGTTTTATTCACTGTAGCAAACTAAATATATTTCCGTTCGCGCTATTTTGCTCAGCTGCGTTGTTTCATATCTGAGATAAACAAAGTAGGGTATCAATCCTGCAACAAATCACCCTTGGATTTGGCAACTATCTAGTCAAAACAGTGCTTGAGCACTTATAAATCGCTTGGGGTATTGGGTTTTCTAACGGACACCATGAATTAAAATGACATTTGACTCAGCTTTCCATCAGTTTGATTCACTGAATGCTAGAACATCAGATACCAATCGTTCTGACTCCTTGTCCAGACGTTGCCTAATATGGCAAGCTAGTTCCTAAATCGGTTTGAACATAGACACCATTGGTTTCACTGATAGTCATAGCAAACCTAAGATCCTGAAGTTCATTTTTGGACTTCAAGTTTGACAGCATCTACGAGAATATAGCATATCAGAGGAATGTCCTGAAGCAGGTAGATATTCAGAACAACCAGGCGTCTATCGCTTTATGGCACTCTGCTTTTTTGGAGGTAAAATTGTCATCCATGAACGATAAGCATACGTCAGACTTGATCGCATATGAACGAATCTATGTGAATAACCGTGGTTTGGGTGCCTGTCGCTGACACTGACGGTCTTGAGATTAACTGAATTGTGGGATCATTCATTAGGCCGATGTTAGGGAGCCAAAAAGCGAACTCGGTGGTTTAGTGTAGTAGTCCTGATATTCGAAATGACATATTAAGACCCTGTAATCATGATTTCCAAGGCCAAGCCAATTCGGACCTATGGGTTGCTTTAATTTGGCCTTTTTCTGAGAACTTAACTAAACCTGAAAGACCCAAAACTGTCAAGCCAGCGGCCATTCTGGTTCAAACTGTAAAATTTATCAGAAGGAAACACTGGTTTAATTTGGAAAAATATATTTGAAGAACACGTATTCAGGTCTTAGTTTGTGCCCATTCAAATCAATTTACCACACTTTGCCCGAAAGATGCGAAAGGCTAGTGGACTCATTGTGAACTGACGATCAAAAGGAATACACGGTCGAAGAACTTCAACAATCCTGATTGTTGTTGACTGATAGCGCCCATGAGACACAACCTGTGTTCGCGGATGTTCTGCTGTTTATTTTTTCCTCATCAACAATCACTCAGTCCTTTGTCCTCACCACCGACAGCGAAATCAGTGGCAGCTTCAATGCAGTACAACCGCAAAGTTTATTGAATTTCATTAAAGATCGCTCAATCAAAAATGGGGTCGCCTCTGCGATCAGCGGAACTGAGAAGTCTGCAGGTCGTCCACAATCTGAGAACTGGAGTTGTTTGGTAATTGATCAGGTTAGCTGTCAGTCTGTTTGCCGAGCATGACAATGCATTTGCAAACGTTTCGTCACCACTAGAGGAGATATTTTTAGTGCGCTGTTTGTTGGGTGAGCTGGAGATGTGTAGGCTGATGCCATCGTAGGCAGATGCTGAGAGTTAGAAGAGTAGTGTTTGGTTCTGAAACAGGGGCCTTAATTGTAGAATGTGTCCAGCAACAAATCTGTGGTGGTTTGATCATGTATTAGGTATGTGGAATCATCGTTCGCCAAACATGGCCTTCCAAACGCACAAACTTCACTGACACTGATTGGTCGCGATAACTTATAATAACTCCGGCCATACGTAGGGTGTCACATACCCTCTTCCTGAACCGCACCTAAAACAGCCAACCTTCCCTTAATCTTCCAATCTATGCCGCTAAAGTAAATGCTGTCCACTCCGTAGTTCGCGCTATTCTGATAGAGGTATGCGGACCAACATTCATCTCTCCCGACAATGATTCAAACGCACCGCAGTTGATGGTGCCGAATGTCTTGAGTGACTGGATGGCCAACGCTATTATGCTAATCACCTCCTGACATAATCACTTAGTCCGGTAGAAAAATTCATGCTTATCCCTCGTAGTGTTTAGTTCAATCGCTGACAGAAATTTTACCTAACCTGTTGGTCTTCTTTTCCTTCTGACTTCGACGGTTGGTTTGCACGTCATTAGCCGACCATCGCGTTGTTGTCCAGTCGCAACATTCTTGAATTCATTTCAGAAATGTGTGTCATCTGCCTGGTAGCTGAGGCACTGAAGGTGCTGTTTGGCCTTATCCTTCGAAAGTTGACTCCCGGGAGAGAGTTGGTCTTCTTTTCCTTCTGACTTCGACGGTTGGTTTGCACGTCATTAGCCGACCATCGCGTTGTTGTCCAGTCGCAACATTCTTGAATTCATTTCAGAAATGTGTGTCATCTGCCTGGTAGCTGAGGCACTGAAGGTGCTGTTTGGCCTTATCCTTCGAAAGTTGACTCTACACCGGGAGAGACGAATCCGTGAAAATCAAGGTGGGTCCCGTCCCTCAAAAAAATACATCATAATCTCACGCTCCATCTGACTGCGATACAGTGCCACTGCTTCAAGCAACCAAAAATACTTGTCTTCTTTGACATTTAATTTGCATTAACCCTGTGGACCGTCAAGCATTGTGGAACTGCGTGTAGAGTAAAAGTGTTACCGTTAATTTTTTGCTCCCATTAAGGCCCTGTGCGCCAACTCCCGCGAACGTGTAAATATTTTTGGGAAACTCTCACTTGAGTTCACCATATCGAGTGGTGTCAGACAAGGACCGTCTACTTTCACCTTTCCACGTCAACCTTTTCGGGCAACCACACAGAGTGTGGAGATGGGCTATAGGGTTAAATCATGAATTCGCGGTGAAGTATGAGAGCCATTTTCTAGAAAACTCAGCTGTGCTTGTCACTGCCTTGTCCTAGGGTGGTTACCCCGAGACGGGATACATCAGTAGTTAGAAACATTGTCAGACATGGATCACTTACGTACTCAACAGTGCTCACGCGTCCAACCTGTTGCTTTCAATGCATAGCTCCCCCCCCCCATCTCCCGAACATAAAGTTCGCTGACAACTCTGTATATACGCATTAATTATACACCACCTACCGCGTGTAGTGCATTGCCATTTACCCCACATCCCCAAATCACTGGTGAACGAAACTATGACAGCCAAAATCACAGTAAGACAAGTAAGCAGCTTTTTTACAGCTGATCTTGATAGTGGTTTTATATGGATCCATACGGTATTCCAGAGACAGTTTCTGAAATAAACGATGCGTGAGGTTTCAGGTTAAGGTTCCAACTAGCGAATTTTTGTCACCAGAAATCATCAACGACCCATGAGCGTCCAATTCGATCTGATTCGGTCAAACATTTATTTCACTGGAACTCAGGTTTGGTTATGTTCGTCACCATCTTTCCGGGAGTTGGGACGAAATACTCAAGCAAACCATAGGCAACGTAGGGCCGATATTTTATTGATGGTAAGGTTTGATCATCTTAATGAGGGACACTACTTCACACTTTTAATCGGCGGCCTAATTGAATATAGCAGCAGCCTTTGCCTTCATTCGGACCCGTTGTGAATTTCCCACCCACGCCAAATTAGTCGATAAATTTGATGGGCTGTGTTTACCCGGGAACCGAGCAGTGTATGGACTCATCGAATATTCTTGGTCGTTTGTTTCCAAGTTTCATCCTACTGCTACCTTGCAAGTAGTCCATGTTTGCGTGATCGGTTTCGACAGCCGCGGGCGTAAGAGCACTTTGCAGTCAGGTGTCTCGGTGTCAGTTTGAGGAAAGTGCACGCAGCATAACGGTAAGATGACCGTAAAGACGACGATAAAATAACACAGAGAGGGAAATATGTGTGACTGATAGCGACGCTCCAGAAAGAATTCGTTCTCAAAGGACAGATATTAGAAATGCAATCAGATTACTTCAAAATCCTAACTGAACTAGAGAGGTGTCAGCATTCGAAAAAAATGAGTGGCCTAAGTTTGCTTATTTATGACAACACCCGACACAGAACAATATGCCTGAACGAAGCAACGGGCCAGTATTCCTCTCAAACCGGTTCATATGACACGATTTAAAATCAGCCGCATGCGTCATGAAAACAACAAAAGATTTGACACAGTACCTCACCTTACGGGGTGTCGTTACCATTATCTAACAAAATCATCGGATATCTCTGAGCAAATGTCTGTCAAAGTTCAACTACTTGACACTGGCGACAGAAGCTACAGTGGCATAAAGGACATCATCTTTTTCGAAAAGATCAAATGGTGGCCATCACAAGTTTCGAAATCGCATGTTAGTATGAATGCAGAACTTCGAATGGCTGCTAGCTGTATACGGGCCCAGGATGTTTCGAAGCTTCCACCGATACCGTAAATGATGGGCAGTTCTCTTATACTGTTCAAGATGAGCATCATGATCGTCGATGAGACGACTCATTGGATCGATGGAAACCAAACGAACAAACGTCTCGTTGAGAGTGAGATACTGGGTCCACCCATAAGCCAACGAACCTTCGGTAGATGTAACAACCTGCAGAAATCAATACCATTTTTGCTTGAGGGCAACAGACAGATGATCCGCCAACCGTCTGCCGAAGATCTCGATAACCCCGACAAGACTGTGGATGGGCACATCCTAACAGAGCAGTGTACGTCAGCTGGCTCGTCGTCTAGCAGACTGGATTCCATGAGATGAGGGCTGAATCCGGAGGGTGTGTGGCACCTATATGGCGTTCACGGATATTATCGTAGAGAAAGGTATATATGAAGTGAAGATCTCCACTCGAACAAATGTAATGTGAAAAGAAACCAAAAACGTGAAAATGTTCCTTTCCGTTAAAACTGTTAGCTCAACACGGTATATCCTGCCGTTTCTTTCAGCTGATCCCGGCATTTCCACGGTACATTTTGTGATGGATAGGGTACACGACATGAAGAGTGCTCCTTCTTGGGTTGCGGTCTACTGGGTAGGCTAAGGACATCATCACGAGCATTTTAGTAACCTAAGAGTCATCCAAATACCCAATAGTTCTTTTGGAATGGGGTAAGCCAGGAAAAGTAAGCAATGCAAACATCGAGACTGGTAGATATTTTGACCTAAATCCGATTTGTGTTCAACAGGGCATGAATCTCCTAAATTGCAATGAGCTAGTAAGCGCCGATCGTAAAAATCACTGATGCGAGTAAAGCTACAAACAATGTGTTATTCGGCATGAAAGCATGCAATGCACCGCCATCACCTCCCTCCATAAATTTAAGCTTAACAAACTGGTATACTGTTTCGAATCACTAGATAGAACAACAAACAAAACGTCTTGGCGCTAGACAACATCCCGAATCGAACGATATTTGGGAACGATCGAAAGTTCAAAGATGTGTTCGGACAAACATACAGAACTCCTAATAGAACTGCAACTGACGGCCGATGATGCCATGTGGTTCAGTGTGAGTAGGTTCGAATGATCATCTTGGCCTGCTCGTGAAATGAAGAAAATCCCAAAACTAGCGAAAGTATAAATGGATGTGACTTGCGAGTCCAATGATGGTCGTATTAGGGCAAAAGTATTTTCTCAAAAGCAGGCGTTTTAGCACAACGTGTGACACTGATTAGCGCACCGAAGTTCATGTACGGGAGACACTGACGACCTTGCCCTCCTCAGTAAGTGGCAACATATCCACGTTCCCCGCGGGTAACTTTCCGCTGAGGAACCGTAGCAACCCACACCCCATCTGTTCAGTGAAAACGAAAGATAGTGCGCACAATTATTGTACTGAATACGTTTCACTCGAAATCCAAGAGGTGTAGTCAAATTTTAGACCCAATCGATCCATAGTATACGGGAAATATTCGGGAAGCCATGGGGACGTGCAGGTCAGAATATATGAAGTTTTGGGATTAGCGCCTTCAGAATCTTCCAATTTCGTCCAGGATAGACCGGTAAAGGAGGATGAGGTTCTTTGCCTCGAACAGGATATTTGTCCTCGAGGAGTCGGAAGGATAGAAGTGAAGTGGATTGGATTGTTTTTGTCTGATTTATAAAATATTGGTGCGGGTATATAAAGTTTGGTACGGTGGATATGTACAGGTAGGTCGTAGAATGAAGGATGCCCTAGAAGGCGCCGGAGCCAAAGTGGAGGTTCGGAATTGAGTTTGGTTTGGCTTGGTTGCAAAACGACAGGAGCGATTCCGGTATCAACAAGGCGTGAACTCTGAAAATTAAAAATATCGATATCTGGCGATGAGTGCATGCGATCTTAACGAATGGCTAATACACGATAACGCATGAATAACATGAATATTCTTTGAAAGGACTTAGTAAAGTTTACCACCTTTACTAAAATCCATTCGACATGTCGAATCTTTCAGACAGAAAAGGCTGAATCTTTTTGTCTACCCGAGAACACGATAGTTTCGCAGTTCGGTGGACCTGTCTTTAAAGTCAAATAACTGCAAAGCATCCGTTGCAGTATTTAAACAAAGTGAAATCCAAGTCTATTGCTACTAGATTCGTCTGTATGCGTCAGAGAACGCGGACTGTTCAATATTCAACTATGTATCTGCAAGCCCCGAGAGGATTATTTCACCGCCAAGATACGTTTAGGCACATTGCCATGGCAATAGCACCTCTAGCGACGAGACGTTAAACGCTGAGCGCTAGTCGAAATTAATTATTCAGTACATCCAGCTCTCCAAAAGCGACTCTCCCGGGTACCACACGAAAACAGACTTGCGCTGACCAGAACACTCACGTGAGGCAAACATTCGATCAGCAAAGAAAGTCAGTTGACAGTCGGCGAAACTTGCCAGTCTTCGGAAATCATACAGATGCAGACGAATTGCAGAAGGGGTGAAAAGACGAAAAACGGAAATCACTCTGTTATAGGCCACCGGCTAAATGGTTCAAATAGAGATGAACTACTAGAAGTGTTACATTTTCAGGAGAACCATAACAGTGCCAAGGAAGTAGACAATCGCTGAAATAGGTCTGATCGCCATATATATATATATATATATATATATATATATATAGTTNACTATAAGCAAACCAAAATGCTGGCATAATCGGAAATGCCAAACCAAATCGTCAAATGTTCTCCTCACTCGGTCATGACGGACTTGTCATCAGAAGAACGGTTTCAGGTAAGTGACAGCAAAATGTAAAATGCCTGGTACCCTCAATACAACCGGAAAAGCAGAAATGGATGGCAGATTGGTGTATTTAATTATACGGGACCCAAAACTATGTTGCCTGCATAAACATTTCCTCATGACGCCCTCAGGGATACTTCATTTTGGAAAACTCAGAACTGCTCACCTGTAGTAATTCTCCAACAATTGCGCACCCCTCATGCAGCAGATAAAGTTCAGGGAGGCCACGAAACGTGCTGTTCGTTTGCATCTCGATTAGACTGGACTTCATGGTGTTAGGGACAAGCGAGCGATGACTCACATACTTTTGCAGCACAACAGTTCCATCAGCTTTAGACCTTCGTGGAGCACCTTCGGGTAATCTGCCTCAAAAAAAACAATGGTAATGATAAGCATCGCAGTAATAATAACAGGGCCAATCTCTTTACCTGCATACAACCTTCTGAAGCCCATTTTCACCGCATCAATCATCGAATTGAAATAGTTTCTACGTGGTTTTGTATGCAAATCGAGCTGTTTTAAAAATTTACCTCTTCGTAATTCTCACTAGGAACCGGAGAATTACCTAGCCTTGAGCTTGTACAGTACACAAGTAGCAACCTAAATATCAGACGATCGACTTTTGACAAAACCTGATGAATCACGATCAGGACGGAAAGCGTGGTAGATTGCTTTTACAGGTTCGACCCCTTATTTATAACCACTACTCATAATTGCTTGACTGTTCATTGAAATTCACTACATTTTCATACACGTACACTTTTATACATGTATCGCGATATCTCGAATATCGTAGCGATTGAAACATGAGGCGGCCTGGTGCAGCACATTCAGTTGCCTGAGAACATCACAAACGAGAGATTCTGCTGGGTTCCAAGTGAGTCTCTCGAAAAACCAAATTAGTTTGCAAATGAGTGTATATTCGCTAATTTCGTGCAACTTGGTTTCTAGTAGAACATAAGGTTGACGGAAACCCGGGGACTGCGCCTAACTGATGAGCCCCAAACAGGGCGAAACCGGTCGTGGGCTGTCGACGGATTTTCAGCAACCTTATGAGTAGTACATCAATATATTTTCGTTTGAACAGTGGTCATTTCGTCTAAACCCGACGATTCCCGTTTATCCACACCAAAGTGAGACATATGAACGCGATCACTCATTGAGTAATTATTAGCTTTCCAACTTTGGAAACATTCAAAGAAATAGAAGACCTTGAAGGCCCTGATGGTGACGGGGTCATGCACCTGCACCCTAGACGATTCACCTGTTTCAGACCTACACTGGTAAGTAGCATACGACCTGTTTCGGATAACTCGGTACATCATGCCTAGTGATTCGACCGAACCGACCTGGCAGACTGGACAAGTTTTTACTAATCATGTGGACCGAGCATTTCGTCCGCCCCGTTTTGTGGCGAATGCACAGGTACCTAGACGTGAAAACCGACGTTCGTAGAGCAAACAAGTACAAGGATAACCATGGAAACACCGCGACTTGGTACGTCAATGTTGATACTGTCGTTGAGCAATCATTTCGAACGTATTTTCAGCTAGGCTACACTGGAATTAGACAGACAGTCAAGCAACCACTAGTTTCCCCGGTAAATGTCACGTTTGGTCGTGGAACGACTGGTATCAATTCACAGTTGGATGAAATAAATATGACATTATCGTGTTAGCTGTCCCTGGTCCACGTAATGAATAGAAGTGAATTAACGATAAATTGGTACCTATGTTATCAATATATACATATGTAAGTATATATGTATATGTACAGCCTCACGTTAGACGTTATTATGTTTTGTAATCATATATATGTATCACTTATAAAAGATGTCCAGAGTACTGTTCAACCAAAAACGATAAAGAACGATTTCGAAGCGGCAGGTTAAAGGCTGGACTTCCTCCAAGAGAACCAATTCTTCATGTGAGAATAGAAAACAAAGTAACCAACAAACCGTTCTTTTATTCGTCTGGAGGCAGTACTTTCTCTGCTCTCACAATCCACATCAATAGAATCACCAAATGACATTTTGTGTAATGCACACTTTAATCGCCGAATTCAGCCCCATTTCCTGAAGGATCTGAGATCATCGCATAGAACAGCAAATTGCCAAAGACCTCCTTGTTATCCAACCTTTTCACTGTGATAGAGTTCGCCAAGCTACCATCGTATGACCAATTTAACTGGGAACTTCAACACAAATTACCACAGCGGCTGTGAACCAAACGCCACTCGAGATTTCGTTGAAATTGTGCGAGGAGGAAAGCCGCTGGTCGCAACTCCGTCAATCAATAGGGGGTGAATAAAGGTAAACAAGAACTTAGACAGGTGAACTAAGTTACCATTGCACCAGTTGGTTGAAAAATCCCGCTGCTGAGGCAGCCTACAGGGGTACTTGGGCGGGTCGTGGAGTGTGCAGTCGAGTAGACAGAGAAAAGATGTTTGTTTACCACAAAGGCCAACCCCCAGTTGAATGGTCCCAGTCACGATGACCTATGTCTGAAAGCACACATCAAGTGGTGGGTAACATCACTAAGACCACACTTAAAAATTCATTTCACGTTGTCTAAGATATCAGGTCACTGCGCTTGTAGAAATAACTTTCGTACTTTTGGTGGTGTGCATGTCAGAGTGGCATTGTTTCGGCGACAAGCAACAAAAGAAAAAAGGAAGGCAATTGCTCGTGCACTAGAGGCGCAACTTTAAAACTTTAAACGTATCACAACCTAATTATCGCAGCGACCACGAAGAAATTCAGATGTGATGGTAGTTACTTGCTTATCTTCGCTGCATCAGTGGTCCGGCATACCTGCACTACAACTTCTAATGAAAACGTCCTTTCATGGGAACGAGTCATCGGCCGGTGTAAACTACTCAATGTTTCCCTTTAGGGGATGGCATAAAGACAATAAAGTCAGGCGAACTGCGTTTGCATTCTTCGCATATTTCAAAATCCAGCTTTTCTGTCCGAAAAATAAGTCCACAGGAACATGCAACTGTTCCGCCGTTTCTACAGCTACCAACCAACTGAACAAAAAGGTCAGACTTTCCCTAGGATATTAGGATCATAAATCCAAACAAGAAAGCAGTCAAGCAGATGACGATACACAGATGATTCTCCTGAAGAGTTACGTCCTTTTCATTCCCAACGAAAAATATGGGATTACGGTGGGGACTCCAAAAAAATGATAATACGAGTAACACGCCGGTGAAAAATAGGTTAGGTAAACATTCGTGGAGCTCGGAAAGGAAGTGAAATAAGACAGTTTAGTAAAAAGTGGGTTACCCATATTTCGGACGCAAATTAGCCACCTGATTTCAAAGTATTTTGTGAATAAACCAGAATGAGGAATCTGGACAAGAGACAGTCATTAGCCTGACAGAGGAGTTTGTAAGAAATTTAGAACCAAGCACATAGCAGACCATAAACCAGAATGAGGAATCTGGACAAGAGACAGTCATTAGCCTGACAGAGGAGTTTGTAAGAAATTTAGAACCAAGCACCATAGCAGACCAAGAGAATCAACATCCAAACCGTATACGCTGGACCCAACTGACTCGTCTTTGTTTAAACTGTACGATAGCCTGATCCAAACGACCTAGGCTTTGTTGTAACCGTATACGCGACGGAATAAAACATAGGATGCAACAACAGAAAAAAAGCCTACCTATATCCAACATGCAGATGTTCATTTAGCGCGAAGGTGCCCACAGGAAAGCGTACATTGTTGGCGCATAAGGTGAATGGTTTGTTCAAACAAACAGCGAGGAACTGCTGGTACATCCGCCATGGGGGCTAAACGGTTCGGAAGGAATGGTGATATACTGGACATTTAAATCTAATAGATGTTGCAACCCAAAGTGACAGTGACGCAACACACGTAGGAATTAAACTTTCAAAAACTAGCTTGCCGAGCAACCATTTTTGTACTATGACCGAATCATCTACGAATGAATCTCAGAAGCTGGAGAATGGCCGATAGCAACCAAAGGATTGAAGAACGAAGATAAAAAGGGAAATTCTTCCCTAGTACCGCAGTTCCTTCATCAACCATTAGAGTTCAAGCTATTTAGAAAAGCCTGCTCGAAAATATCTTTACTGGATGGACACCACGGCGACAGTGGTACGGCAAGCTGACAGCATGCAATCCGTCTTGTCGTTACTACAGTATTTTGCGAAGCACACGGGGAGCGTGTGTGAAGTCTTCTTATTAAATAATTTTGTGCAAAACAGTCACATGATTGCCGTTTGTATCAGCAGGCATAGGTAATAGACAAAGCAGAAGCTGTGTCCATTTATCCGACTGCCCAGTCCATCGGGGTCTTACCAAGTTAGACATTCTGTTGCAGTGTCTATTTGAATCCGGATTTTCGAAGATCACACCTCACACTACTGCCATGAACAGTACATAAGTGTGATACTTGCCCCACCCACCCCTCGAAGCATAACTGTACCACAATATGATGAGGAAGATGTGGTGTTACAATGCAACATGAAGATCGTTACCGACATCGTCTGTGCCAAAATGATAAACAGGTAATCTCCCTGGACAGAGGACACAACGAGGGATGGTGCATTTCCGCACTTTCTCTTCGGGGATGGTGGGTTATGGTGACTTGCGGCTTCTGTATAAAAGTGGTCACCCCCTCCCCAGAAGAGGCTCCTCCTATGGGGGCTCACAGTATTTATTGTCAGGGGTCGATGATATGCTGAAAACTATCAATATTATCTTGCCTGCACGCGCGAACCTATTGTGGTTTACCCATGTAACTTGTGTGTAACACATGCACAGTGTGGTATCATCATCATCTGGTCACAGCTAGAGTGACCAGCGGTATTCGGTCGGTTTCTATGGATAAGCATGACCTATATCAGTGGTTGAAGGTGTAAAAACATGAGCGTTGGGCTAGGAATCTAATAATACTCCTTTTTTCGATCGCCTCACCACAATTGAGACTCATAACCTTTTTGATTTAACGTTAACGTTAAAGGCATTCCAGATTAATGCTGGTGTTGACGAAGGAAGACTTAGAGAAATTCAGGGCAACAACAAGTGGTAATTAATTGTTGTACATACAACTTCCGACCATACAAGGCCCTCAATGGTTTAAAATATTGACGGCGAGCGGAGTTCTACTCACTACTGAACTACAGTAGGACCTTACATATTACAGAAGCACATGAAGGCGTAATTGTTGGGCAGTTGATGTTAATGAAAATATCATAGCCTAATGTACAGAGCACTTGGTTGATAGCTATCCTCATCGTTGTCCCGAACGCATCAGTCGGGTAAGTGAATCACAGCGACAGTAGATCAGAAGGTTGGCTGTGTAGTGTACATTTACACTTACAAGCATAGAAGCATATAGGTCCTTAGCATGTGACAGGAAACAATGGAACTTCTCTCCTTACCAAGACTACATTCATATAATCCGGATACGGGTACACGGACCTACGTACCGACCGTCAGAGTACTGCTGAATGAAAATAACTAATAAATGTATTGTCCAGCTGTAGTACACTTACGGTTCCTAGCTGTCATGCAACCCGAAGGACGCACGAGGACTGGGATACTGTCAGGTCGCCTAAACCCAGACAGGGGAAGTCGAGATGTAGAGGTAGAATTCGAACTACGGGTCTTTCTCGCTCTAATTACTGAGCATACTGACACAAGCGAAGCGGTGTGCTACTGTTGTGCACACACCGTAGATGTGAACCTTCCCCGAGATAGAAGCGCGTTTGGTGCACATTCCTATTCCTAAAGATGTATGTTAAGATGTATGTTAAGATTTTACGGTTCAATTTGCAAGATAGACTACGAACAAAATGGTTTCAGTACGTTGGGACTTCAATGTAGACTCCGGTGTCTTTCGTGGCAAAAAGTAGAAGGATATCAGGGACGGAAATCCGAAGAGTTACCATGACGATGCAACTGACCGACACCTTGATCGCTGCCAGCGCAAAGCTAGTGCATGGCTTCACTTCTACCATAGCTCACCATATTAAGTCTTTCCTTTGTTAGGGCCTCCTATCTCAAGCCACTGGAATACATACAATGTACGACAAGGTCAGTTGGCTAGGCTTGCAACTGCAACAGAGACTTTTTCTGACTCCTACTTTATTAAACAGAGCACGGTTTATCCGCACCTTAGGCGCTTCCTGGAAAAACTGTTCAAAGTGCGAATGAGATTAAAGAGCTAACCAGTGGGTTGCACAGGAAAACACACCAGAACACAAATCAAGTTCTCTCATGTGGAATCTCTTTATATGGTGGCAGGAATACTCCAGTACAGGAAGGAGACGACGGCCCACAGATCATCTGTTCGTCTAACAACCGCACAGATCGGTGATGGTGTTCCCACTTTGCTGCAAAGCATATCAGATGTGGTTCTACAAAAAACACAATGCAGCGCATAGATGTGGATAGTTCCGTATACAGGAACACGCCCCCTATCGCCTAATGGAACACCAAAGTCAGTTTTATTCCCTAATCGGTTTATTTGCCAACTTACCAGAGTTTGTGGTGAGACCTATATTCCTAGGAGAATATGGAGCTTGAAATTAGAGTGAAACAGCATTTATGCACATGACAGTACAGTACAGGACCCGAACCCAACCCCCATTTTACCACCGACGAAGTCCACAAGGCAGCTGGCAAGAACATGTCATCACAGGGAGATATATCTGAGTAAATCTCTGTTAGTTAGGTCAGTTGCAGAACTAGACAACTGTCCGGTTGGAAGAAAGAACCTAATTTGATATATGATGCATATAGTTGGTCTATTAAACACTGTCCGTGAAAAACTGTTATACAGTCAGGTTAAAAGCATGTCATGTACTCGCTAAGAAGTATGTCGGGTATTGAAACTATCAAATGAAACTGGTAAACTGGAAGTAGCTCAAAATGAACGCAATGAAAATCATGGTGGTTATTTTGAAACTGATTCAAAACGAAATTAACTAGTCCAAGTGACTTTATGCAGTGTATTGCACTCATCCAAATGACGGCTTTATTTAGCAAACTAGGGAAGTAGTATTTCAATACCTCGAAACGGCTAATTTCGGTGGGTGTCTGGGTAGCAGAGAGTAATAGGAATGAAAACACCGATCACTTTAGTGAGTAACAAAGGGATTCACTACAGAGGGAAGTTACCAATAGGAAAGTAAAATTCAGATTACCTTTCCCTTCAAAGCGGCGCGGTAGAATTTCTGCGCTGCGGTGGTATATTCCTGTGTTCGACCCAAAAGTATGAGGCCTGAGTAAGAAGCTGGGAGAGACTCAGCAATATACAATTTCGGGATCGTGTTGGATAGGCTTGTAGGTGGATTCATTCCATCCGGCAAATGAGAGAATGTATAGACCGGACTTTGGCTGAATGTTCCTGTCGAGGACGCATCGTCGATCAGTTTGCACAAATGTGGAAGACAGTCTTTTATCGACAGATGAACTCCATCATCTGCGCACTGCCAAAAATTTGAAGCAAAATATTATCAGGCTAATGAAAGTCAGAATGAAAACGGAACTATCAGTGAGAAGGGTTCTTTGAAACTCGTGAGCCGAAAGCAAAATCAGCCTAACAACCCGCTAGAAGGGTTTTAAAGACAAGAAAGGTAGTTTTTGCATAATCTAGTCACATGCATATTGAAGGCATACAAGGCAATGCTCATTCATGGGCGCGAAAAATAAAAACTCTGAATTAACCTTTTCATGGCCAGAAGAAATAAACTATAACCATCGACACCGCATTGCACGAAGTTTTGCAATCAGTATAACCCAGTTTGTGACCAAACCCACCATTCTGACATGGCTGTATGGCTTGAGCATTGCTGTAATGACTTTGTTGCACAATGTATGACCATACCAGAAAAGCTACAGAACAAGGAGCAGGGAGCTTCCGAGCCACGAACACACGTGTGAAGGGCCGATCTTGGGACAAAGTGATGTTGTCCTTCGCTATGGAATGGTGCAGTTAATACGATGTTCCTTCAAGGTGACCAGTATGTCTACAGTTAAGAGAAAAGCAATGTTGCTTTCTCCACGAGAAAGGGACATTGGAGAATATTGATCCTAAAAACAGCATGCTACGATTGCCCAACAGTTGACCACCACAACGGTGGAATTATCCAGCACGGTTGAGTATGATTAGATTTTACCCAAAGTCCTATGCGGCTCCAAAAGCATCTGCCTTGCGTGGTAACAGCACCCATGACTTACTCCCACACCAGCAGCTTAGGATAGTCCCAAATAGTCAAGCTGGTGAGGCCGTTGGGCTATTGGGTACTGGAAAAGTTCCCAAGGCAAACCGCTGCGTTTTACGCCAGAATTCCGAACCAAATGTCCAAGGTATGGTACCTCAACCAATCCCCTCCTCCACCTGGGTAACCAGTGAGTAACACCCGTCCTTCCTGCAGTTCCCTCATCTATCCAACTAATCCATTGTTGCTCACTCAGCTGCCAGTCACCTAAAACCTGCTTTGTTTTAAAACCACCACCCAGTAAAATTATCCTTTTACAAAACTCAGATCTGATCCACTTTGCAGCTTAAAATGTCTGCACTTTCTATGAAACTGGGCAACAGGAATCCTGTGCTAAAAATTCGCTTTCCCTTTCTATTGATAAAGGCTATATCCCAGAAAAACGCGCATAAACCGCATTTCGGACGTGTACCTTAAATTGTTTGGAACGAGCGCAGATGTATAATCATTCACTCTTCAGACAGCTGGCAATATTGAAGTAAAGGCAGCACGCATAGCGCAGAGGTTTGACCTAGTACTAAGGCTGTAAACGCTTTTTTGACTTAGGCTCCAGTACACAGCAGTCTCTGCGCCAGTTCTCAACTAACCTCCGCTGACCTGCCAAATCAGACAATGAATGTGGTATCACTGTGGACGCTAGGAAGACTCGGCTGGAGAGGAACTGCAGGCGTTTGTTCCTGTGATACCATACTGCAGTCCCCAAAAATCTGTCAAAAAACTCCCCACACAAAGAAAACCTCACCTTCGACAACCATTTGCACATCGATTTGTTTTTCACTGAGACTTACCTGGAACCCAGCTGAATCTCTCATTTATGATGTTTTTTTTTCAAGGGAAAACTCAGCCTATTACTTCAAATCTACGAGTGTTTATTAGCTAATAAACGGTAGTATTTGCCGCTCTTTGCGCGCCTCACGGGATGTTCAAAGAAGTACGCCTTTGATTGGTCCACTGCCTGCTTGGTTCTGCGGTGCTTGACGTTGGTCGGCTTTTGTTTATCCGAGGTTGTTAATTATTTCCAACAGTAGTAAGTAAGCGTGGCCATCTGAATCACGGAGTTAGTCTGCACCCTGAAGCTCCACTGAATGACGGAGAAGAACTTTCTCAAGTGCGTATCACTAATGACAGACAGTTTTATCGGCCTGCAAAAGTGCTAGTCTCTGTTGAAGTTCGATGTTGCTGGGTAGCCCCACACAGCGAAATTTAAAGAATGATTTTGGTCAATTATGAAATCAGACAGCATTTAGGTCACTTAAGTTATGTTAACAGATGTCAAGTAGCGTTCATATCCGGCCTCATCTCTCGTCGCGTCAACATCCTGCAAACGTCCCCAGTTGAAACTTCACTTGCGAGCTAAAATCTCAGACGCTTCACAAAGTGGGAGCTTTTATGCCATCAAGAAATACAACTTCAGACAATTTCGGCATTCTTTACAGTTGCCGGTAAATTCCATTTTCATACGTCATACTCTCGGACAATGTCCTCTTGGCCTACCTGCCTCCCTGAAACTTCTTCTTAACGTAAACACACATTCGATTGTGAAGGAAGGTTAATCACCTCCCAAAGACCCATTCCTCTTTGGCGGCCTACCTTCAGGAAGTCTACTTTGTACAGTGTACAAAAGGAGCTCGCTGTGCCCAAACGGTAATTTTGATGGATTAATGGTCCGACTAACCTAAGATCGATTGAATAGCCTGAATTGCTTTCAATGGACTCTCTCGTCATCACGAAACGAGGGTCCCAAACGTGTGTCTAGCTGTCCATAGACATGAGTGAACTGGCTCTCACGCATATTTCACTCCACAACGGTGTTGATGTGGAAGGTGAATCATGCACAGTAACTCACACCAAGGGCAAATGAAACTAGGATGCAGTGGACAGGGAATATAAGAATGGAGGGAGCTGTTCGCTGGTTCTATACGCAAGTGATTGATAGGTCACCGCCTTTGAAATTTTACGATGAAAATGATGAACAAACTTTTTGAGGGACGCTGATTTGAAAGTGGTCACTATGGAGTATGGCTGCTCTACTTCAAGTGTAGAACAAACTATCACCAACGTCAGGATAAACAAGAATCAAGTATCAAAAACTAGATATCAATGAAATTGAAGTTGGACACCGTCTGCACTGTACATCGTGCTTGATTTGTTAGACTGCTAAATACAGTCTGCGGAACTAAACCGGATCTTTGTTCTCCAGAACAGTTCATCCATACATCAGGCGTTTCAATTCAACATGCTCGATGATACCATGGTCGTTGTTAATGCTTTATTTTTCAACATAATCCTGACTATTAAAGCCTTTCAAGCCTGACAACTATTGTTAGGATGACCATAGAAAAAGGGATCATGCCACAAGGAATACCGCAAGAAGGACCATACAATTCATACAATTCATACAATTCAAGCTTCGCATTGCAGTAGAGCTTCCTCAGTATGTAGGTTCAGTAGCTGAAAAGTTCTTCGGAAATACTTCGTAGATGGTTAGTTTCCAAAACACCGATTCTTGTTCACCAGGAAATCGTTCGGGTTACAAAAAGTGAGTGAAAAAAGTCAACTAGCATTGAAGAAGTATAGGTATGTGGATAGCAGAAAACAGATCGTCCTTGAATGGGTGTTGGTCGCCAAGCTAGGCAAGGCAGCGCAACCGAGACACGGAAATTCAGTGATATCACCACTGAGTAGTGAAGGCCGAAACAAACTTTGTACAACTATGTACTTCCATTGAAAAATGGTACTTCCATTGAAGAATGTGTCCAGCACCAGAAGCNTGCATATAGTTGGTCTATTAAACACTGTCGGTGAAAAACTGTTAAACAGTCAGATATTTAAAGGTGAGGTTAAAAGCATATCATGTACTCGCTAAGAAGTATATCGGTCATTGAAACTATCAAATGAAACTGGTAAACTGGAAGTAGCTCAAAATGAACGCAATGAAAATCATGGTGGTTATTTTGAAACTGATTCAAGACGAAATTAACTAGTCCAAGTGACTTAATGCAGTGTATTGCACTCATCCAAATGATGGCTTTATTTAGCAAACTAAGGAAGTAGTGTTTCAATACCTCGAAACGGCTATTTTCGGTGGGTGTCTGGGTAGCAGAGAGTAATAGGAATAAAAACACCGATCACTTTAGTGAGTAACAGAGGGATTCACTACAGAGGGAAGTTACCAATAGGAAAGTAAAATTCAGATTACCTTTCCCTTCAAAGCGGCGCGGTAGAATTTCTGCGCTGCGGTGGTATATTCCTGTGTTCGACCCAAAAGTATGAGGCCTGAGTAAGAAGCTGGGAGAGACTCAGCAATATACAATTTCGGGATCGTGTTGGATAGGCTTGTAGGTGGATTCATTCCATCCGGCAAATGAGAGAATGTATAGACCGGACTTTGGCTGAATGTTCCTGTCGAGGACGCATCGTCGATCAGTTTGCACAAATGTGGAAGACAGTCTTTTATCGACAGATGAACTCCATCATCTGCGCACTGCCAAAAATTTGAAGCAAAATATTATCAGGCTAATGAAAGTCAGAATGAAAACGGAACTATCAGTGAGAAGGGTTCTTTGAAACTCGTGAGCCGAAAGCAAAATCAGCCTAACAACCCGCTAGAAGGGTTTTAAAGACAAGAAAGGTAGTTTTTGCATAATCTAGTCACATGCATATTGAAGGCATACAAGGCAATGCTCATTCATGGGCGCGAAAAATAAACACTCTGAATTAACCTTTTCATGGCCAGAAGAAATAAACTATCACCATCGACACCGCATTGCACGAAGTTTTGCAATCAGTATAACCCAGTTTGTGACCAAACCCACTGTTAATTACGTGACGTAATTATTTGTTTCCCTATTCCTCAGACTAGTTCATCACCCTTCCGTGACTGCTTAAGTTTCAAGACTGAACCGTTCTATTTTATACAAAGCCGACTCTACCACAACCATTTCTATAGACGATTTGTTTACATTTATCCATGGACTTGTTGAAATTTTGTTCCACTTTGAACTGAACAATTTTCCCGCTTAATTTGTCCGATAGCACGCTGCCCTTCGTGTGCCATCCTGTGTTGCTAACTGCCCAAGGTTCAATCTAGCCGTAAGCCTTTCTTTAACTCTCCTCATGATTTACTGTTAATTTCCTGCAGAACCACGGTCTACCTATCTGTACTGTCTGCCCAAGTCCAATTCAATATATTGTTCACTGCCCAATTGCGACTACTGAACAAACGCAGGTGAAGTTCTTAGAATTCGGTTTCGCCGCAATTACTACTGACCGTCCGTTGGTGAATTAGACTACACGTTACTTGTCAGATAGGACACCTAGATCGTGCGTTTAGGCTAAGTAACCTATTCCTTGCTTTGAGATCACGGCCTTAGCACAGGATCGTACACCCACCATTCTGACATGGCTGTATGGCTTCAGCGTTGCTGTGATGACTTTGTTGCACAATGTATGACCATACCAGAAAAGCTACAAAACAAGGAGCAGGGAGCTTCCGAGCCACGAACACACGTGTGAAGGGCCGATCTTGGGACAAAGTGATGTTGTCCTTCGCTATGGAATGATGCAGTTAATACGATGTTCCTTCAAGGTGGCCAGTATGTCTACAGTTAAGAGAAAAGCAATGTTGCTTTCTCCACGAGAAAAGGACATTGCAGAATATTGATCCTAAAAATAGCATGCTACGATTGACCAACGGTTGACCACCACAACGGTGGAATTATCCAGCACGGTTGAGTATGATTAGATTTTACCCAAAGTCCTATTCGGCTCCAAAAGCATCTGCCTTGCGTGGTAACAGCACCCATGCCTTAGTCCCACACCAGCAGCTTAGGATAGTCCCAAATAGTCAAGCTGGTGAGGCCGTTGGGCTATTGGGTACTGGAAAAGTTCCCAAGGCAAACCGCTGCGTTTTACGCCAGAATTCCGAACCAAATGTCCAAGGTATGGTACCTCAACCAATCCCCTCCTCCACCTGGGTAACCAGTGAGTAACACCCGTCCTTCCTGCAGTTCCCTCATCTATCCAACTAATCCATTGTTGCTCACTCAGCTGTCAGTCACCTAAAACCTGCTTTGTTTTAAAACCACCGCCCAGTAAAATTATCCTTTTACAAAACTCAGATCTGATCCACGTTGCAGCTTAAAATGTCTGCACTTTCTATGAAACTGGGCAACAGGAATCCTGTGCTGAAAATTCGCTTTCCCTTTCTATTGATAAAGGCTATGTCCCAGAAAAACGCTCATAAACCCCACTTCGGACGTGTACCTTAAATTGTTTGGAACCAGCGCAGATATATAATCATTTCCTCTTCAGATAGCTGGCAATATTGAAGTAAAGGCAGCACGCATAGCGCAGAGGTTTGACCTAGTACTAAGGCTGTAAACGCTTTTTTGACTTAGGCTCCAGTACACAGCAGTCTCTGCGCCAGTTCTCAACTAACCTCCGCTGACCTGCCAAATCAGACAGTGAATGTGGTATCACTGTGGACGCTAGGAAGACTCGGCTGGAGAGGAACTGCAGGCGTTTGTTCCTGTGATACCATACTGCAGTCCCCAAAAATCTGTCAAAAAACTCTCCACACAAAGAAAACCTCACCTTCGACAACCATTTGCACATCGATTTGCTTTTCAGTGAGACTTACCTGGAACCCAGCTGAATCTCTCATTTATGTGTTTTTTTTCAAGGGAAAACTCAGCCTATTACCTCAAATCTACGAGTGTTTATTAGCTAATAAACGGTAGTATTTGCCGCTCTTTGCGCGTCTCACGGGATGTTCAAAGAAGTACGCCTTTGACTGGTCCACTGCCTGCTTGGTTCTGCGGTGCTTGACGTTGGTCGGCTTTTGTTTATCCGAGGTTGTTAATTATTTCCAACAGTAGTAAGTAAGCGTGGCCATCTGAATCACGGAGTTAGTCTGCACCCTGAAGCTCCATTGAATGACGGAGAAGAACTTTCTCAAGTGCGTATCACTAATGACAGACAGTTTTATCGGCCTGCAAAAGTGCTAGTCTCTGTTGAAGTTCGATGTTGCTGGGTAGCCCTACACAGCGAAATTTAAAGAATGATTTTGGTCAATTATGAAATCAGACAGCATTTAGGTCACTTAAGTTATGTTAACAGATGTCAAGTAGCGTTCATATCCGGTCTCATCCCTCGTCGCGTCAACATCCTGCAAACGTCCCCAGTTGAAACTTCACTTGCGAGCTGAAATCTCAGACGCTTCACAAAGTGGGAGCTTTTATGCCATCAAGAAATACAACTTCAGACAATTTCGGCATTCTTTACAGTTGCCGGTAAATTCCATTTTCATACGTCATACTCTCGGACAATGTCCTCTTGGCCTACCTGCCTCCCTGAAACTTCTTCTTAACGTAAACACACATTCGATTGTGAAGGAAGGTTAATCACCTCCCAAAGACCCATTCCTCTCTGGCGGCCTACCTTCAGGAAGTCTACTTTGTACAGTGTACAAAAGGAGCTCGCTGTGCCCAAACGGTAATTTTGATGGATTAATGGTCCGACTAACCTAAGATCGATTGAATAGCCTGAATTGCTTTTTCAGGAAGTTTTGTACAGTGTACAAAAGGAGCTCGCTGTGCCCAAACGGTAATTTTGATGGATTAATGGTCCGACTAACCTAAGATCGATCGATTAGCCTGAATTGCTTTCAATGGACTCTCTCGTCATCACGAAACGAGGGTCCCAAACGTGTGTCTAGCTGTCCATAGACATGAGTGAGCTGGCTCTCACGCATATTTCACTCCACAACGGTGTTGATGTGGAAGGTGAATCATGCACAGTAACTCACACCAAAGGCAAATGAAACTAGGATGCAGTGGACAGGGAATATAAGAATGGAGGGAGCTGTTCGCGGGTTCTATACGCAAGTGATTGATAGGTCACTGCCTTTGAAATTTTACGATGAAAATGATGAACAAATTTTGTGAGGGACGCTGATATGAAAATGGTCACTATAGAGTATGGGTGCTCTACTTCAAGTCTAGAACAAACTAAACAAGAATCAAGTATCAAAAACTAGATATCAATGAAATTGAAGTTAAACACCGTCTGCATTGAATATCGTGCTTGATTTGTTAGACTGCTAAATACAGTCTGCGGAACTAAACCGGATCTTTGTTCTCCAGAACAATTCATCCATACATCAGGCGTTTCAATTCAACATGCTCGATGATACCATGGTCGTTGTTAATGCTTTCTTTTTCAACATAATCCTGACTATTAAAGCCTTTCAAGCCTGACAACTATTGTTAGGATGACCATAGAAAAAGGGATCATGCCACAAGGAATACCGCAAGAAGGACCATACAATTCATACAATTCATACAATTCAAGCTTCGCATTGCAGTAGAGCTTCCTCAGTATGTAGGTTCAGTAGCTGAAAAGTTCTTCGGAAATACTTCGTAGATGGTTAGTTTCCAAAACACCGATTCTTGTTCACCAGGAAGTCGTTCAGGTTATAAAAAGTGAGTGAAAAAAGTCAACTAGCATTGAAGAAGTATAGGTATGTGGATAGCAGAAAACAGATCGTCCCTGAATGGGTGTTGGTCGCCAAGCTAGGCAAGGCAGCGCAACCGAGACGCCGAAATTCAGTGATATCACCACTGAGTAGTGAAGGCCAAAACAAACTTTGTACAGCAGAACAGAGCATACATCTGAGCCGAAGTAACCAGAGAAATTACGGCAAAATCTGATCACTTGCGTGAACTTTTTAACAACCATACCTTGGGTCGAAGGAGCTTCAGGGCTTCCAACTTTGAAAGAGCATGGCCCCAAACGGATAGACCAGCAGGCTTATCCACAACAACAAAATGTTCATTGACAGCAACAATTCGCTTGAAAAGATGGTCAGCCAGTTCTGACGCATCGGTCCAGTGGGTTTTCAGAAGATAAGGGTTGGAGCTATCTTGCGTGGACTGAACAGCACCGACGGAGTAACAGCGATCGATTGCACTTCGGTAGCTAAGTCTGAACACTGATAAAATACGAATTCTGTATAACTCAGCCGAAATAATCATCCGTACTGGACTGTATCTAGAAAAAAAAAACGAAAACACATTAACTACTTGCGCGGCACAGTGGACCACTAGGTTAGGCTGGGAAATGATGTAAAATCAATCCTGCAAATAATATGGAGGTTCAGCTGTGCTTACTTCATTGTTTTGCACTTTTTCCATTGCTTTTTACTCCCAAATGTTTCCTTTTTTCTTGCACTTAGTCCCTACTCGTTCCCGTTTCTTACCGACATTTGCTTGGATGTTCTCAGATTGCTCCTCATATTCTCATTGGGTGTCTGGCAGTGAAGCAAAACCGTGAACTACTGGTGTATTACTGTCAGCGATGATGGTGTTTCATTCAGAACCTTTTGGACACCCTGTAAATCTGGATAAGACCGGAAATATAGCCCAAAGGAAAGTGCATACGAACGGTGGATCAATAAGCTGTTTCACTCGCCGTCTCACTTAGACGATCTTGTGATGGTAAGTTAATAACAGCTTTGGTCCGCTTAGGCCAGCAGTTATGGAAATTCACTTCAGACACCATGGTCGTCTAAGGGTCGAAATGGGAACAACCGGATAATTGTACCAGACTGTATTCGTTCGCGTAAACTTGCGGCCCGTGGTGCTGGCATACATGCCTACCCCCAAGAGAGGAACCATGGAAGAGAGTAAGGAAAAGAGCAAGCTCCACACTCACGTTGAAAATACCTTTATTGCGTATGCCATTCCGTACAACCGCTTTGTATGCTCAGCTCTAACCACATTTATGGATATCTGTTTCAAACCATTGATTTAGGCGATAATAAGTCAACCAGTGGCGTGGAACCCATACGACGACTCACATTAGGACAATCTTAGCGAAGCCCAAAAATTAGCACCAGGAATTATCCGGCTTCTGCACCTGACACTCAACCATACACAGAATTTCATAGTAGTATGGTCCAAATTTTGCCCGATGAAATATCGCAGATGTTTTGTGGTTGAAACTCTGAAGTGAGCCTTATTGGATGTGCCATTCTGCTAAATCAGGCTTGGGTTATTTCAATCACTATATGACAGCACTTTTAAAAAAGTTCTGGTTACATACCTATGGAATATCACTTCTGAATTATGGACAGAGTTCCATATTTTTTACTGTCTCTAAACACGGGATACTTAGTGTAGAATTCAACGAGCGACAACGGGACACCGCAGGAGTAGAGAGTGAACAGCAGCTCCGTACTACAGAACTATCGATGGGTCCATCAAAAACGTACGTTATATGCATTCTTTAATGTACCTTTATATGTCTCCCGAATGTTTTTTTGCATTCCATCCTTACCGTGAACTCCATTTAACAAGGTGACGAAAACGAAGGGCCGTT